AAAGGTAGTTAGGACATTGTTAAAATAGTCCATGAGAAAACAAAAATAACGACTTTATTCAACAATTTGAACGCACGTCGAAGACTGACATGGAAGACAAGAAATTGTTGAATAAAGTCATTATTTTTGTTTTCTTTGCTGATGTCACATGAATTATTTTTACGATGTCCAGAACCAGACCGCGTGTTGGCCAAGCGTTCGCGTCTGCGTTCCCGTTCAATATTTGATTTGAAGGGATACTAATATTTCTTTAAAGATACTCACATGATGATATCTTTCAAGTTGCATACGAAGCTTATTCCAGTTTTCTTCATCGTAGTTGACACGGAAAAAGCCAGCGCAGTTGACGTTTGCGAGGAGCCACTCATCTTTGTCTTGAAGTTGAAAGTGTGGCCTTCGGACTGTAAGGAGGGATGCAGGAATGAGCAGCAGGGTTAATCACAACTAACAGTGACTGCAGATTTATGCCTGTTGTTTTGCCAGGTTTCATTTTTATTATTCGAAATGATGCTTTAATGTTTATTTGTTCCTTACCTGGACCTTTTACTTTCAGTATATCGTTTTTCTCTGTAAGATCTCTGTCCTTAATGTATCTGATGTGAACTTGCCATGCAATACTGTTAGGAAGAAAATAAACAATATTTGAATGAATCAATAAAAGTTAGTTTGGCTAAGGAAGCTACTTATAGCTTTTTTGTTTGATAGTAGTTTAAATCCAGTGCCATGTTAAATAATTCAATAATATGATACTATTGTAAACAGCAATTTGATTCTTGAAACTCACTCATGGCCCTGTGTTTGCTTTAGTAAAAAGTGTTCTTGAGAAGTCTCCCCTGTCTGGGTAATAATGGTGATTATTGGATACCCCACTTGCTCAATCCATGTGCTCATGAAGCCTTCCACATCTTCTTTTGTCTCCTGATCATTGTGGGAAACATTTGTCATTATCTTATCATATCATTTCAACTTGAAAATAGAATATAGGTCCTTAATTTACCTCTTGCAAGCATTTCAAAAGATCTTTGTACACAGTGTTCTTGTACTCGAACTTGGCAAGATACATCTAAAATACATACAAATAGTAATTAGGCAGTCAGTCCAGACCATACCTTAAAATCTTCAAAAATAAATGCATAAAAATAGTCTAATACATAAAAGCATAAATTATGCTATGGAGTATACCATGAAAGGTCGTAAGTTTAAAAAAATAAATACATTTTTTTTAAATATGGTTATTAATATGGTTTTATAATATATATAAAATATGTATATATGATATAGTTGAGTTGGGGATTAAAATAAGCTATTTCAACACTATATATATTTAAAAAATATTAATTATTATATTATATATACATTTTTCCCCATTTCGGCTTACCTTGATTCCTTTCATAAATGCGTCCTCTGTCATGAATGTGGCCAGCATTCTCAACACAGCAGCACCCTAAAAAATGTACAGAGCTTGAAAGTTTCTTATAATCCTAAAGGATTGTTTTACAAATTATAATATTGTGCAATATTGTATTGTAACATTTTTGTAAATTAAGCTTATCAACATCACAAATGTATACTGATGCCAACCTTGCTGTAGGTGATGTCATCAAAAAGTTCTGTGATCTCAGAGAAAGTTTGAATATAATTTTCCTGCAAGCTGAGAGGATGGGAAGAGTTTAAGGAATCCACTTGAAAGGCAGTCTGGGTTTCTCTGAGAACAATCAGATCTCTCTGAAAACACAAATTAATCATATCATCAGAGGAGGTTGGAGGATGCAAGTTTTAATTTAATGAATTTATGGTCAGATTGTAGAAGTCAACAACTGGAAAAAAATGAAGAATTCACCAGGGTGTATTGTTAAAATCATTATTCAAAAATAAACAAAAACATACTAAGTCCCAGCCATCAGCTTGCACCCCAATGTATGACATGTATGTGGCAAATCCTTCATTCAGCCATAGGTCATTCCACCAGCGCATGGTAACAAGGTTTCCAAACCACTGAAATTAAGCACAGGTATGAAATGTAAAGATGATTTTGCTAAAGATTTATGGGCTCTTAACAGCTAGTGGATGATCTATGTAAAAACTGTTCAGTAGATTTACAGCAAAGAAAATGCACTGCAGAATGCAAAAAATAAAATACAATTAAATAAATAATAGCAAAATAAACAGGCTAATCAAAATGAAAAGAAAAAGTTCCCTATACGTTTTCTTACTATTTTATTATGTACATGGGCAGTTAAAATGTCATGTTATTTATTGGGGATTTTTTGATGGAGCTATGGTCATTTTTTTTATTCACACTTCAGCATGAAATAGAATTAGTCAAACTGTTAATTTACGAATGGTATAGTATCTTCATTGTATTTGTTGTTTTTTGAAGCCAGTCCTATAAACCGTTACCAACTTTGGACATCTGGTATAGAGATTTATATGATACGGATATCTTTTGGGATTCAATATGGGCCAATCTTAAACTTGTTTCAAAAAATCCTAATCATCAACTATACAAAATGGTTCATAGGATGTATCTCACTCCTAGGAAATGATATTTAATGAAGCTTTCTTCATCTTCCAATTGTAATTTCTGCGCAGGAAACTCTATAGGTACCTATAGACATATGTTTTGGGATTGCCCTGAAGTTAATCATTTCGGGAAACAGGTATCTACGACTCTGAAGGACATACTGGAAGTCGATATATCATGCTGTCCTAAGCCTTTGCTTTTAAATGATGACTCATCTTTCAGTTTCTCTCTGTCTCAGACCAAATGGTTATTCTCTGGATTAACTGCAGCTAAGAAAATGCTTGCCTTACGTTGGCAACCTCCACACTCTTTAGCTTGGTCACACTGGAGGTATTCCCTTCCTGGACATTGCAAACATGGAGCTATCAGTGGCTAGGATGCACGGTGCCACTCAAAAAATGATTTCAGCTTGGATAAGGGCAACATCTGAAACTAAGGACCTGTTAAAGTGACATGTTTTAAATGTCTTTACACTGTATTTGCCTTGTGAAGTTTATGTAATTATTTTTGTTATAGACTATTTGTGATTGTACCTAATGTGATGAAATTTTTATTTATTTTTTGATGGTCGCTGTGGGTGGGTGGGTGGCATGGCATTTAAAATTAGAAAACTTTATTCCTATTGATGTATGTCTGTTATAACTATTTTCTGTAACACTTAATAAAAAATTGATTAAAAAAAGAAAACCTGTGTTAATTTACCACTTAATCAATACCACCGTAACATCCAGACAATGTACATCTGATTTTTTTGTAAGGTTTCAATTACTGCACATCTAGGTTAACAATGACATTCACTGAAATATCTAGCTTAATGTAAACTTTAGTCAGTGATGAATAATACATTATCATGAATATTTGACTGAATATTTGACTGTTTACCTGATGTGCTAATTCATGAGCAATCAGAGTGGCCACCCGTTCTTGATCAAAGGTCGATGCTGTATATTTATCATACAGCAGACCTGACTCCTGATATGAAATGAAACCCCAGTTTTCCATTGCTCCAACACTGATGTCTGGCAAAGCAATCTGGTCTGTAATAAAACAAACTCTGCATGTGATCTTGTGAAGCTTCAGTTTGTATGCTCTCGTTTTAGCTTGTACCTGTTCAATTTAGGGCAGTTCACACAAAAATGAAAAGTATGTCATTTACTGACACTTCTTCGTGTTGTTCCAAACCTATACATATACTTCGTAGTAGACATCCATAACTCCTTTCTGCTGTCTGTTGTCAGTGTTTCTTTGTTTAAATATGGCGCTTATCACATGCTGTGTGGTATCGGCGTTTGGTATCGGGGCATTTTAACGAGTACGAGTACGAGTACAGGAGGCCAGTATCGGGCCCGATACCGATACCAGTATCGGTATCGGTGCATCCCTAGAAAAAACCTTGGACTGCATTGAACTTACAGTATATGGATATAAAAATACTAAGAATTTTTAAAAAATGTATTCCCTAAAAAAATGAAGCCATACAGGTTTGGAACAATATGAGGATGAATAAATTATTTACATTTTTGGCTGAACTATAATTTAAGTACATGTTAAACTCCAACCACATGTATTAATGCAAGAATTAAATTAATCCACATTGAAATAGTGAGTGGGGTTCTTCTCCATTGACTCACCTATTTTTGTTAGTGGGTATTTCAATCCAAATATATTCTGATAGCGAATCAGAATCTTCTCTGTAACTTCAAGTGCGTAGTCAGCATGGCCAGCATAAATAGCATCCCCCCGAGCATGTATCTTGGAAATACATATTCATTATTTGTGAAATGTTCTAAATAAATAAATAAATAAGCAGGCACTCTAGTGCCTTCAATTAAAAATAAAGAAACATACATGTATGTTTGTACCGGAAGGTCTCGTTTTAGATTTAAAATCAGATACAGTGAAGGCCAATGAATAAGTTGACATGATGGGGGTCTCTTCAAATGTAGTCACAATCCATTCTTCTCCATCTATTTCTGTCTGATGTGGATCTAATGATAAAACAAAAATAGAAGTTATGTACTGTACACAAATACCTTGATTTTTTAGTTCACGTCCTTTGCAGGTTTTGAGCCCGCTGCTGTTTGCTGCTCTGACATGTATTGTTATCTCTATTAGAGACAGGAGGACGAAATATCTTTGAAATCATCTTTCATTATTATCAGAACAGTGAGATTCTGACATGATCAAGTCTAATAATAACTACTAAGGATCCTAACCTCCTATTCCATTGGACAGGGCAACAGTGTCGGGTCTGTGGATAATAGTAATTTGAAACACAGCCTTCAGCGCTGGCTCATCAAAGCACGGAAACACTTTCCTGGCATTTGTGGGTTGCAGCAGACTGGTGGCGAATAATCTGTTTGCGGAGACATTTTTATGCAAAACATAAGTAAATAAAAATGAACAACAGTAATTCAGTTTAATTGTTCTGGATTCATGTTATTTGTCATAAAGAATTGTGATATCCACATATAAAAACAACAGCGAAGTGAGGATTTGATAGTTTTAGAGAAGAAACGTGCAACAAAAATCTCAGGAGGAAACTGTTTGTGGAGACATTTTTATGCAAAACAGTACATATAAATGAACAATAGTAATTGAATTCAAATGTTCTGGATTTATGTTGTTTGTCATAAAACGTGATATCCATTTGAAAAAACAACAACGAAGTGATGAAACGAGCAACAAAAATCTCTGAAGGCTTTGAAAAACTATTTGTGAAGCCAAACACATGTAAATATATGAGGCGTTTCTTAGGTTGATATAATTAGACATGCACATTTTGTCAGTGAAGTTCCTATGGGTGTTTTTAACTGAACTGAAAACATATTTTGAAAGACAAAAATATAAAAGTAAAATATAAATGAAATAAAAAATACATTAAAATATACTAGTTAATAAAGATGTTTTTATTAAAAGCAACTAGATTTCCTAATATTAGGAGTCTTTACCTCTCTTGATCCTCATCTTCCTCCTCCTCCTCCTCGGCTTTTACCTTCTCTGTGTAACCGCTCACATAAAACCCATCCAAGCCGTCAAAAAGTTCCCCTTCGAATTTGGTGAAAATATCATAGTAGGTCTCATTTCCAGACATTGCATCCTTGAGTTGGATCTCGAGGAAATTAGTTTCATTGTGATGAATTTTATATCCACTCACTGATAATTTCTCATTTGAATCAGATTTTCTCACTTCCACAGTTGTCACATTTAGGTCCTGAGCGTGAAGAAAGATGCTCTTGGAGACTATCATACACTTTACTCTTACAGTTGAGTGTCCCGTGAAAGCAAAGGATTGGTTTGTGTAGTTATTAGGTATCACTGCATAAAGGTACGGTTGAATGAAGACTTTGTAGCTCTCAGGAATCAAATTGTCAGGAAGTCTGAGAGTCGGTGGAAGTCCTGTTGGAATAACCGGAGGTTTAGTTGGAGTCGGTGGACTCACCGGAGGGAATCTATCTATTTGAATTTTGTACATCACAGCCATCATCACTAAACCACAAACAGAAGAAACTGTGAGGACCCCAACGCCGACAGCCAAGGCCTTGGACATGCCAATTCCTTTGGCCATTTCTGATCCTTCTGAGAAACCTCCAAGAATGAATTGAGCTAGGCGAACCTGCTCTATGTTATTAGACTCTGTACCCTCTCGCAGATCTTCACAATATATGTACTGCTAAAGGCGTCAAGCACCTATACCACGCCTAGAAGAGACCACGCATTTCGAGATTATACATTAACCAGCCTGGATGAGCCAGAAACAAACAAATATGATGGTATTTCACGTACTGTGTCCCGTCACACTTTGCCCCACATCTGGAATCAGTTTTAATATCTATCAAGTAGTTAATGGTCAGAAAAAAAAACACAAAAGAGAGCTTTGATGCTGAAAAAAGAGATTCATCAAATGTTAAAGGGGTCATATGATGCGATTTCATTTTTTCCTTTCTCTTTGGAGTGTTACAAGCTCTTGGTGCATAAAGAAGATCTGTAAAGTTGTAAAGACTAAAGTCTCAAATCCAAAGAGATATTCTTTATAAAATTTAAGAGTTAGCCACACACAGTTTTTATCTCATTGCGCCGGGACAGGGCATCAACAGTATGTGAGGGGCGTAACATTTCCGTCTCACGCTTGAGGTATTCGGCCAATCACAACGCACTGGATAGCTGGCCAATCACAGCACACCTCGCTTTTTCAGACCGATGAGCTTTGTAAAAATCGACGCGTTTCAAAAAGGCGGGGCATAGAGGAGAAACAATAATGTACAGTATGTGGAAAATAATGTGTTTTTTTAACTTTAAACCGCATAAACACATTTCATTACACCAAATAATGTTCTTTTTAGCAGCATCATATGACCCCTTTAAAGTACATTTTTCTTAACCACCACACACACCCAAGCTGATATTCTTGAGTCCTTCTTATGTTCTGCCAGAGACGTTCAGACCTCAGTGATGAGACATCCAGCTGTTTGGGACCTTCTTGCCGCCCAGAAACGTTTCCAGAATCCTCTGATGACACCAAAAACAAAAAAACATTCATTGACTGGTTTCTGAGACTTTTCTACTTCTATATCAGTATGTCTTTGTGTGAAACTTGTCATGTGTTTTCTTTAGAGTTAGAGGAGGGGACTCTCATGCTTAATATTTTTTTTAAGATGTCCCTACTTTCCCCTCCTTTCAGTTTTATTCTAAACTTTTTTTTAAGAAAAGTACTGTTTGGTCGTATTCAAATTTAATGAATGTCCTGTGGAATCTACTTTTTATAGACATAGATATATAATAATTTAATAACACAACTGTACTCTTTGGCAAATCTCAAAACCAAATCTCTTAGCCATTTATAATAAAAATAGATAGACTATTAAAACTTTCACCCTATTCAGAATATAAAAAGACTTCTGTCCTTTAAAATCTACATGATGTTGGAAATCAAACCATTTTGGTTTAAATCTGCCTATTTGAAACAGATTGAAGTCGACTAAATAACAATTCAGAATTATCTTAAAGTGAACTTACAAAAATAGCATTTATATGTTAACACTGATGGGAAGGAACCGAAAGTGACAGTGGACAATTTTGTAGCACAAAGTTTTGAATTAAAAAAAAATGCATTTTTAAAAACAAACAAAACGGCACACATATTAAGTAAAATCATATCAATTTATTTTAGCGGTTTCAATTCCAGCCTGTGCACAGAATTAATTTATCACTGCACCACTGCAGACTGCTGCTTTTAGGGTGCCAAGAAAGAAACACAACAGCTAGAAAAGAAAATGGTGCCATCCTGTGGACGAGCTTGAGATACTGCATTCAAATCATATTTTCACCCTTTGGGTTGTTTACTAGGAAATGCAGCTGCAAGTCAAAGAAAAAACAACAACGTATGTGCACGTGAAATAAATTACATGATTGGTCGATTGGTTTGAGGCTAAAGGCGATATTTTCATTTCATAAAATCAAAGAAAAAACTCCATGGGTCACAAACGTCATTAAAGGCACACTATGTCTTTAAGGTATATGTTAATGCTTAGCATGAATGCTGAGCATCTGATCTCAGTCAATCTATGCTTATTCATTGGTCAGCTGATACCTCAAAATGTCAAGAATGTCTTAGCAGTTCAGGTTTTACTCTCATTACTTCTTTAGAAATTCCTAAACGTAATAACTGTCCTTTTAATTATATTATGTAAGACATTTGCCCAAAATATGGATAAACATGAAGATGCAACGCAAAATTTTCACTCATGTAAAAATACTTAAAATTCCCAATCCTAGGCTTGATAAAATAAAATCTGTCTATTGAAATTCCAGTTTATGAAAGAATTGTCTCAAATATAGATTATCAGGAATGTTATAACTTTTGGTCACGGATAGCTGAAAACACTGAAATAAAATCTAGTTCAAGACAAAAATACACACAAAATAAAGGCAAAACCCCGTTTTTTGATGACTCCTACTGAAACACACAAGGACTGAAATGCTATAAGGAATTAAAGTTCTTGTCAAAGTGATCCAAACTCCATTGCCACAATCCGCTTTATCCTCCTCTTTGCACAATAGAACAATTTTCCTGAATTCACCTAAGCTCCTAAAAAATGCACACACTTCAGCCTGGAACATAAACCTTCATAGCACAACACAAGCCGAAACTCTTTTGAAGCATAATTGTATAGTTAAGTATCTGGACATATATTGAACTTAATCCAATTATTTGCTAGCAAGGGGTGGCTGACGTATAATTAAATTACAGCTTTAAATATTTTTAATTATAGAGGATCAGCAGAAGTGTGTTATCCGATTATATTTATACTAATTTTCCTACATAATTTTCTTCAGGATGTGGCGGTGTCCCTTTAGGCCGTTATGTGTGGCCTGTAATTGTTTAAGTCTCGACTTCACCAGAGCCAACTGTCTAAATGCTGAAGACAGTAGCAAGACTGCTGGAGGATTGACGTCAGCTCTCTGTAACTTTGCTCTTTCCAGTTGGGAAGGAGTCTTTCATTGTTAAGGGCCTGAAGTTTGGGCGTCCCTTCACGTAAGACCTGATACAAGCAGGGCCATCGGCTCTGTATCCGTAGTCGAGTCCGGCGGTCCAGAGTAATGCCCCGAATGATCTTTTTCGCCCGCAGCTCTCGTAGCGCTGGGAGGTTGAGGCAGGAGAAGACCAGACCTCGACTGGGCGACACATCTAGGAACTCGAGCGAAAGGGATTCAAGGGTGTACGAGATGCCTAGATTTCGCAGTGGAACAAGAACATGGAGCGTGAGGGATTTTAGATTAGGCAGCGATTTCGTCAGCGTCTGTAAAGTGTTCGGACTGACCCCTTTGAATACCCAAAAGTACTTCAATTCTAAGATACGGAGGTGTTGAAACCGAGTGATCAGCGCAACTGATGTTTCGGACCAGTCGAAGTGCAGGCGCATTTTGGTAATCCTGGGACAGCTGTGGACGAGTCTGGCCAGGAGAATCTGAAAGTTATTAACCTGGTCCATCTTGGTAACATTGTCTTGATGAGAACTAGAACTGGTGTGGACACGAAGATCAAGAGGTTCCAGCAGGGTAAATGTCCAGTTCAAGTCTAAATGACTGAGATCCCGGCAATGCACGTTCTCTAGAAGGTGCGACAGGAGCTCTACCCATTTATTGCACTGGTCCCCTAGATCAAAACTGGCCTTCAGAGTGAGCAAACTAGCCCCACGTGATATAAGGTGATGGGTGTAATGGTGAACCCAAGCCTTCCAGCGCTCAAACTCTCTGTTGGAAACGAGCAGACCCTCCTGGCCCAGATGAAACACCCCACGGCGGGAATAGTCCGCAACTCTCCAGAGCTTCCCAGAGCGCACTAAGCAGCTCCAGCTCGCACACACAAGGGCAGAGTTGCATTTGTCCACCTCACTGAGGAATGAGAGCACATGGAGCTGACATTCCAACGGTAGGGAGTTGAAAGGGAAGTAATCTTCATCAGCTCTAACCCTTCTCCTTGTATTAATGGGAACAAGGGCTCTCTTCCGTTGAGGCATGTTGTCAGTGCTTGATTAAATCTTTACGATCATCCTTTTGTCTTGCTCTCTCACTGAGAGACGTTTGACTGCACCTTACAGAAAACACAATGTCATTTATTATGTGCATCTCAGTCAACAGTAAACATTGTCTGCAAGTTCTTCATTATGCGATTTATGTCAGAAAGTTGCACTCAAGAACCGCTGTAATTGATTCAATTCGATTCATGAAGGAAATCATTCACACCGGTTTTGTGAACTAGATTAAGTATTTTATTAAAAACATTTCGTTTCAAAACAAAATGTTTCCAATGTGCAACAAGACAGAGCTTCTCAACAGTAAATGTATAAAACAAATGCAGTATTAAAACATTTTAATGTGTGCAAGTTATGCAGTCTGCGATTTATATTTAAAAGATCCGCTCTGAATGATTAATTTAACTTAGGCACCACTGTAACTGATTCAATTCGAGAAAGAAATCCCCAAAATGTTCTCCAAAATTAAACGTCATTTTAATGTGTAACAGGACAAAGCATCTTACGCATAAAACGTATTCAGTAATAAAACATTTTAACGTCTAAGTTAATCAGTGTGCAATTAATATATTTCTAACTTAAATTAGTAAACGATATGGAAACACTTATGATAACTTACCTTTAACATACTAGCAGATTTCTGAGATGTCAAGTTAATATTATAGGCAAACACACTGTAACGCTTTTGCTCAGAGAGGCTGGTGGAAGAAATAAGTCGTGTACTTTTTCCAAAACCAAAATATACAAACTTGCAAAGCCAGTAAGTTAGTAGCGCGTCGTTAGCTTGTCACCGCGGCCTGACATCTTTTAGCGATAGCTGTGAAATATCTTCTGTTCTAAAGTTCGCTCAGTGAAATTATTTAACTCAAACAATCGTGATGGTCTGACTGAGCTCTTAATTCAAAAAAGCGTTTTAATTAGAGAGAATTAGTCAGCACTTTAGCGCAAACTAAGCGGCTAAGCTGTGTTGAGAATCCCTGTGAGAGAGGCTGTTGTTGTTCTCGGCGAATGACATCATCAATGTGCGTGCTACAGTCTCGGGAGTTTATGGCTGATCCGGGAACAGCTCTGTGGATGTAGTCCTGCTGCTAGTTTAAACAGAATTTAGTTTGAAAGAACTGATCCAAGGACAGGCTAAACATGCTTTTCGATTTCTGCTGTCAGTAGTTCCGCATCTAGCGGCAGCGGTATCATTTTGTCACATTTCTCCATTACTACTTTTGTATTAAACGAATATTTCACGCTGATCGATGTTATTAAGGAAAATCGTTTCTATAACGTATTTTACGGCGTGTATCTGGTAACGTAATGAGACATCTGCACACAGACTGGTGATGGGAAGTCCGAATCATTTCAGCGAATCGGTTCTTTCGAACAATTCTTCTTCTTCTTTCAGGTTTAATGGCGGTTGGCAACTCATCTCAAAGGTGCATTACCGCCACCTACTAGACTGGAGTGTGGGTATTAGACTGACATCAAAGGAGAGGTGGAGAGAGAGGAAAATAACAATTATTCTCTTAATCTCTATATTTACTGTATTTGTATATGTACAGCACTTTGGCATACACTAGCTGTTTTTAAATGTGCTATATAAATAAACTGACCTTGACCTTGACCTTGACTTACCTCTGACTTGCTCTGATGTCATGCTCACGTGTGCAAAAAAAGCTCTCGCGACGGCGAGGCGGCTGTGTCGGATTGTGCAGTCGAGCGCAGTTGCTCTCCACCGACTGCGCTGATCAAAAGCATGATGGGAAACGACTGACTGACGTCACAGCTTAATGCTCATTGGTTCAGACAAACGTGATGCTGCGGTTCTCTTCTAAAATATATATATTTTTTAATCCGATTTCATATGATTATGTATTTAAAGTATGCATGACTGTTCCCAAACACTATGACAGTGCGATCTTTTGAGTGTCTTGTTCATCATATTTATTTTCATATAAAAGCAACAGAACTGAAATTATATCGTGTTTATTAGCAACACAGCATGTAAGTGAGAATAACGCGATATCTGCCTTTGATCTCGTTGGTATCTGTTCCACTTCGAGAGGTCAGAACTGTCCGTCTTGACTGCGCTTATTTCACTCCTCCCCGCACTGCAGCCGCCTACTCTCGCCTACATTTCAGGCAAGGCAAGACGCATCTCAAACAAGCCTACTTTCTGCTCCCGTTAGTGACGCTCACGCGGTGTTTGCATACTCTATCACAGATGAAGTGAATTAAATGCAATATTTGTCAAATACA